CTAGAAATGCAGGAGCCCACCCGTTCTGTAACCAGAGCAACCCCTTGACTAGGAGACATACTGCATTCCTATGGAAATTTTCTTTTAGAGAAAGGTGCCCACCTGGAACAGACAGGGGAGGGAGGAGGGGGACAGAGAGGAAGAAAGAAGGTTGAAGCCACTAAATTATAGTTCAGCATTCACACCTCATCCTGGGCATGTGGATTGACTTACTGGCAATTAGCCATCAGAGCCTGGCATGTAGTCACCTGTAAATCAGCCTTGCATATATATGAACAGCCATCCCCTTCACTCACAAAACCCACCTATCATTCGTGGCCCTTTGTTCTGTCTTATTGACTCCTGTGCATTTTGTTGGGTGAGAGGCTGACACTCCCACATGCCAAGGATAAGTGACTTTTAACCTTACTTAATGGCTCCTGACTCACTTAGAGATAATTGGCCTTGCCCAGATCACCCCTCCTTTGTGGCCAGCCTCCTATCTACTTAAATGTAGAGCATCCCAGGCCCCTGCATCAATAATAGGCTGACACATCTCACCCCCTTAGAAAGGTCACACCAATAGCACTCCCACATCACAGACTCAATTACATTGAATCCTTTTAAAAGCAATTTCCTTCGAAGCCTACCCTCATTGAAATCCACAGCAGAGGCGGAAAAATGTTCAGCTAAAACAGACAGGATTTTGCCTAAGTAGGAGATTGTAAGATAAACTCAGTGAGAAGAATTTCATCCCTGGTGAAAAAAATAGTGTTATTTCGTTTCATGAAATGAGCATCATTTATCCTTATTTTCCCTCAAAGCACCTTCTCACTTGGCAGCTGTGGGTACTTTCTTCTGTCAGACTACTATCGTAAATACTAAGGAGATAAATTTTTGTCTTCTGTCTCCTAAGCAGTGCATTCTGCTAAGCTGAACACATTACCACAGTATTATATTACTTAAGACATTGTTGTTGTTATGTGCCGTCGAGTCGCCTGCGACTCATAGCGACCCTATGTACAACAGCCCTAAACTCCGCTCTGTCCTGTGCCAATC